AAACCAAACACGAAAAACAAAGGATCCAGACTATTCTATCCAATCATCTGACAAATCTAACTTGAGCACACGTGCTTATTTTTAATTACTACTGGGGAATAAGTGTGAAGGAAGAGACGCCTGGAGAAAGTGCCTACCACCAGCGTATGTTAATCATCTAAGGGACAAACCCTGCTCTGAACACTTTGTATTTTCTGATTCCAGGGAGGATGTAAGGAATGAACTGAAGCAACAGCTGCAATTTATGCAAGAGATAATTGACCACACCATATTCTGCTATGATGGCAGACTTGATTCTCTGCTACCTGACACCTGGAGTAGCTATTTGCACTTAGGTGCGGGGAGCGCAACACAGGTGCGACTCAGTATTATAAGGTGGATGACAGAGATCGCACTTTGTGGCGGAGCTATGAAGGAACTTATCGTACATGGCAACATGCAATTGTGAATTATACCCACTGCCAAGAGTGCTCCAGATTCTCCAGGATGAGAGACATCACATGAACACAACGTGCTGTCCAGCACAAGATAAACCACGTGGCTAATTGTATTCCTAATTGTTAGTATTTCCAAGACCGAACAATCTGGAGCCACGAGTACAGCGTGTGGATTCTCTTACCACCAACTTCTCAAAATAGAAGATCTGTTGAGAAGGTTTCTCAGCTAGAACCATTACAGTCAGGCATCACATCCATTTTTCACTTGCTGATCCTTCCTTCCCTCTCCTGCGTATCGAAGCCACAAGCCATACTGCAAGAGAAGCAAGGGCCAGCTCCACCCAACACTTTCAGTTTCTCCCAGCCTTAAAATGGACCAAATGGGATGCCGATACATGTGCTGCACAGCCAGAACGTACTCCAGGAGACTTGTTTCTTGTTTCAGTAGACATCCTATTTTCAGTCATTTCCTTAAGCGTGACTCCAAAGCCACCAGACAACTATTTGGGGGCAATATCCAAAATTAGAAAGTCCCCTAAGCCTTAAAATGGGAGGATGTGCCACAGCAGTGTTTCTCTCAAACTTCTGGGCTATATAACAGATTACATCAACACAACCTACACAACACTAAAATTAGCAAGCATCTTGAAGCAAGACGGGACACAGAAGAACATTCTATGGAACGCATAAAAAAACCTCAAACAACATGAAAAAAAGTAATGTTTATTTTCATTGTTTACAAAAGTCTGAACACCTTATGCAAAAGCAGCATCCTGAACCACACATTTCCCTCATCCTCCTGCGATACTGGCAGAAAGCAAGTATTTTCTCTGTTCTTTAGGGTTAAACCTATTCTGCTGAGGTAAATGGGAAACACCTCATCGATTTCCACAGAGCTTCGACTGCTTACATTAGCACAGGGGCCGACTCATCAGACCACAACACAGTGAGATGTCATATGGGTGACTTGCTCTAAGCGCCAAATTGGCTTGGTCTGTGCTTCTAACCAACATGAATACACTGTCCAGATACATAATAAGCTCCCCATTCTCTTCAATTTTAACTGAAACAGATCTAATTTTAAACACCTGTTTAAACATTACGACTCTTATCTCACACCAACTCCATGCACGGTTTAACTTTATGTACCATGAAAATTTTACTCAAGTTTTTAAGAGTTAACAAGTGTGCTCATAAGCTATTTTAGGAGTGAAACCTTTCAGCACAATAGCTATTTACTCCTTTCTTACCTTCCTCTCCAGAACATGAAGGTCAAATACTGACTCGGAAGAAACATACCCTAAAGTTAACCTGAAAAAAAAATGTGCAGCATCTTTATTTTGCCTTCACCTTTTTCTCTGGATCTGGAGCTGGAACTAGTTAATGGTCATATAATCAAATAAGCCATGCTTTTGAACCTACAGAGAAACATGTATGTATGTATTTATTTTAAAAGTGTGTTGTTAAACAGAGAATTTGATTGCAATGACTTCAAAGACTTACCTGGAAGAAATTACTCATACAGTTTCCTAAATTGATCCCTACTATAAAACAGCATAATTTCTCAGCTCCTTTGAGTTGAGGTCCCTCCCCTCAGAATCTACAACTGATGTCTCGAAGTATTTATTACACTGGGAGAAATGGCTCTGGCTTGTCTGCCATCCTATGTCTAAAATGACTGACAAATACTATTTATGTCTGCAAGACTGGTATCGCATCAATGAAAACTGCTTTGTTTTACTGCTCGAGCTGTAGGAACTGATCTATTAGCTCATGCCAACTTCACATGAAAGAAATATAATTTACTTTACATATTCAAAGAACCTGCTAAGAATATATATACACACAACATGTATGTGTACACACATATATACACATATATGTAGATAATTTGTATTTATTTTACACTGACAAAGTGCTAAAAGAATCCAACAACTGTCACTGCTAGAGAGGAGGCCAAATGAAATGGTATCACTTATATGGCATCAAATAATTATGAGACTCCTGTCTGACAGCTTCAGAACTGTTAGCAAAAAAGTATTTTCACTGGCAAAAAATAAAGTTCCAAATAGTTTGAATTTCACTTTTAAATAAATTGGAAGCATTTAGAAAAAAATTTTAAAAATACCATGCAAAGTAGATTTTATAATTTAAGTTTCAGTTCTGTGTACAGCAAACACACACATTTGAACATATACTCTATTACTTTCATGGCAAAATTCTGAGGTGCCGTGGACTCAGCGATGACTTTAATGAATCTGACAGTATCTCACATGTGCATCATTGCCTCAAATTTTGAAAAAGAAAAAGCTGTACAAGTTCAGCCCTGTATATTGTGAGTCTGGCTGCATAGTCAGAAACAGAAGTATTGCACTCAAGACCATGCCTACAAAAATGCATTTAATAAGGCCTTTATATTCAATATCATAATGGGACTAAATCACATGAACAATCAAATCTGTCAGAAATAGACCTAGGAAAGCCACATTGCAGAAGATGGACTCAAAACAGCAGTGTTCCAGCAGTTAAGTAACTGGGGTTTTTTTCCGTGAAATGCCAATCTCTCAAACCAGTTTTATCCACAGGGCCACACAACATGATGTGTATGCATGCATGCATTCTCACAACGCGCTGTTTCATTTTTTCTTAGCAGTTACCAAGTGCTGCAGAGTTTGAAGGTAGGATTCTACTCAAGTTCTGTCTATAAGGTTCAAGTTGTTATCAACTTTAAGCAGCTTCCATGCATGACGAGGGGAGAGAAGATTTGACTTTCAGCTATCTAAATATTTGCCAACATGCAAGTCATAATTCTTACTTTACAAAGTGTAGCAAAGACATAACTGAACCTGTACTGGAATACTTCTCAGTATGCTCTTTCAGAGCTAGATCACATTAAAAGCATCAGTTTATCTGATCTGGCTTATCAAAAGAAAGACAGAGCAAACAACCAGTTTAACACAACACAAGGAATGATACAGATTTACAAGCTGGCTGCCCACATCCCACGGCAAATAAAAAGAAGCTACCCTTTAATCCAAGAAGGGTAAGCTACCTTGAATTTACAGTAGGGGAAGTGCATTTACACCAAGCACTACCTTGGAGCAGCGGCTGTGCTGTAAAACTGCTAGCTTGCTTTGTAATTATTTGCTCCTTCAGCCATTCCAAAGTTACCCAGTCAGCCAGCATTCTGGCTTGGTTAAGGGTAGTGGCATTTGTCCAAGAAGGAGAGGTAGACCACTATCCCTCTTCCCCATCCCACACTACATAAATACACAGAGTTATGCAAATACAAAAAGCATCAGTACAAAGGCTGGAAGCACAAGATACAGCAGATAGGAAACTTACTGGTCACACGCATTACAGTTCCGCAGAGATGTTCTTTCACAATCCTATATTCTGCCATAACATCCACAGATGAGATGGAGATTCTGGATGAACTACCTCCCAGCTGAACCAACTCCAGCATTAGGAATTCAGTTTTAATAAAACAGAACTGAGAGACAGATGATGTGACCTGTCTGCGTATTACATACACACAAATGGATAATCGAGATGCAAAAATTATTAAATGTGTCACACTACACCTACAGCTCCACGTACTTTTTTCCTTCAACAATGGCATCACTTGCCGGATGCCAGTTTATCACCAACAATAAATGTGTTCTTGACCAGAGCTAGGAGGAATACATTTAGACAACAACAATGCAGCTCTTGCAGTGGATGAGCAGGGAAACTGGGAGTTCAGGATATGCTTTCTAACTCCACTCCGTCTTATACTGATTACATGCTAAGCAGCTCAAAACATCTCTCTTAGCAGTCACGTTATTTGGAAGGAGAGTAACTCTTTCCATATTTTCTTCACAAAAGGAACAGTAAGAAGTCTATTAATGCACCATGTAAGATGAAAAGCCATCTAAAAGGCTTCTACTTATTTTAGTAGTTTTGACTAAATCACTTTGTCAATTAGGTTGAAAAGAGCCGAGAATATTTTGGGGACAGAGTTTCAGAAGCCCATCTCTGACATTCACGTTAAAATGGTGGCCTGACTACCAGCAATACTTTGTATTCAAGTGTCTAAACAAACAGTTTTGACAGGTATCAAGCAGTAACAGCTTTTTCAACATTTTGTGTTTGCTGTATTTAGTACTTTTTAACCAAATTCTCTCTCCCAATAAAGTGACTGTCTTCTAGTTAGCACGACGACCCATAAACACAGCATTCTTAAATGGAATTACATATTGCTGTTTTCTCTCCACCATAACATTATCTTACCATTTTCAGTATCAGTCAGCACCACAGGTTTAATGCAGGTCACGGACAACAAGCAGCAGGCCTACTTTCACTGCTTGCTTCAAACAATGTATTGTTCCATATTTATACATTCTTAAAATGTTTTCTTCACTTAGCTATACTTAAAGTACCACTCCAAAACTTAAATGTGCACTGAAAAAGGTTATTGATGACTTGACCAAAAAATATCGCCAAAAATCCCTTTTATCTCACAGGAAACCACATTTTCTCCTGAATTAGTGTTAGCAAATATTTATATTAGAGGACTCCATATTTCAGAAACCAGTTATTTAATGCTCAATATTCTTTCCAGCAGATGAAGAGGTAGGTATATTTCCACACAAGAAAAAAAAAACAAACCTGTAAATGACAGTTAAATCAAGTAATGTCTGAAAAGTCAAACACTGTTCTGACAGCACAAACATAATGTGTGTGAAGATATTCTCCATGGAGGACAAGAAAAGTTGCACATTCTGATTAGATAAGACATCATAATTTGAAATTTAATAATTTTCTGGAAAGAAAACACAAGTATCCAAACACTACTTCCTTCCCCTCCCCCCCCCAAAGAAATGAGGGTGCCAACAAAACTGCCTGTATCAATGGCAGTATTAACTTTTTGACTGCTAAACATGGAGTCAACTGCAATTCTTCCTTACATTCACCAACACCAGCAGTCTACAAGTTTACACAGCGACCATATGCATGACAATTACATAATTACAATAGAAATTCAACTTTAGTGTTGTTCTTAAAACAATCTTCATAAATAATGAAAATACCTGTGTTCTAGCTCTTCAGCAACCTAAGGTTAATTGGTACAGAGAGTGGTTTTTTCTTCGTTTTATAAACCAAACTCGAGGTTCCTCACTGCCAACAATGGTTAAGGCCTGGATCAAGTTACTCTCCTTTTGCTTTTCCCTTTTTCTGCTTCTTTCCATTTTCCACCACTGCGTTCTTTTCTGGTTTGCTTACTCCATTTGCAACAGCACCATTTGCTACTTTGCCATTCTTTAAGGGTTCCTTGGGCAGCTTATATGTCCGATAGTAGAAGTTACCAAACAAGAAAATGAAGGTGACAGCATAGAAAATTACACCCCAGTGCATCCATTTAGGGAAAGGACAATCAATATAAATAGACAAGGCTGTGTGGCCAATAGTCACATGGAACTGCACCTGAAAGACAGAAAATACAGAATCAAAAAAATCTGCGTATATTCTGTAAGTCTGACTGCACCTATGTATACTGATGCATCAAGTCACGACTGCTCAATTGGGAGGTGGTAGGGAAGCTGTATTTGGCTGTCACATCGCGCATATACACATATGCTTGACCAGGGACACGAAGTTTATTGCAGTACCTGGCACCAGTCTTCAGAAACAGAAGACTTCAAGCGATCTGGATTTTCTCTACCTTTTGAACTGGTTTTTGCAATTTAGCTGAAGCAACCAGCAAAGCAGTATTAGTCTTTACTCACACAACTCTTATCTACGTTGCGTATTTTTTGAGAAATGAAATAAATACTTCCACCTCCAGGAAGTATTCTAACTTGAGCTGTGAGCATCAGACAGCTAAGAACTTTTGGAAGGAGAAGCAGCTGCTCCAAAGCTCTGGAAATGCAAATTCATTCAGAGGCAACGCCTTCTAAGATCAAGGAAGAAATTTTACTTACCAATTGCAATATGGTCAAGTACCGTTTCCACCACAGGTATTTCTGAAATTTAGGGCCACAGGCAGCTAATCCGTAATACATGTACATAATGACATGAATAAATGCATTCATCTGAGCTCCAAAAAAAGCTGTCCAGGAACAGAAGGGAAGATTGTAATGTAATTTTGAAAAAGGAAGTCTTTTCTAGCATTTTCCATGTGACAGTAAAAAATTGTAACGCACAGGATGTGCCAGGCTTCCATCTTTGAAATATTCAATAGTATAGACCTGACTGCCAAAATGTGCTGACACAAATAGCTGTTCACGCAAGTAGTATGTCACATCTTTCAGGGAACTACTTATGCAAAAGATTTTCATAAGATTTTTGTTGAACAGACATAAATCACATGGATTCCACATTAGTTATTGCAGCATAAGCACAACTCTTTTGCTAAAGGGTTATTCAAAGCAGTACCTGACAATGTAAAGTATAAAGTATGGGGCTGTGAACTTAAGTCTTTTAAACTATATTTAAATGCACAAGCTTCACTTCTTAGCACTAAGCCAAGAAACTCATGTCGAAGTCTGATTAAAGAGGCCAAAAAATCATACAAAACAAAACTTCACTTGAGGTTATAAAACATTTAAGGGCATTGCCAAGTGAGTTTGTCTAAATTGCTCATCTTTAGTTTCATTATTTATGACTTAAAATATCCAGCATTCTTAAATACATAAATGTATAACTTTTTCCAGAATGATCCACGCTGGAAACAAAGATGACAGTTCTCATTTGCATTAAGATCTCTTTGCTCTGTCAGGATTAGCAGCCATTTAACAGTAACAAATTATATCTTGTTAAGGTATTCTTACACTGCCAGAGAGGCTCAAAAAGGCTGCAATGTATAAGATTAGGCCAATACAGACAACAGCTGCTGACATCAGACAGCTCAGATGTCCGTGTGGTTCAGACCTAGTTTGTTATACTGGGGTCTAGTTTATAATAGATCTGTCTACGTAGGCAATGTGCTATCAACTAGAAAACAGAAGAACACAGATCTATCCACATTTACGCAGTAGCGCTACATAAATGCAGAAGAGCAACTGTTGCTTTTCCTTTTGCAGATGCTAGAAACTAGGAGGCAGTGCAAGAACACCAAAACCTGAAATAAATTTGCAAATAGCTGCAACTGTTGATTGAAAACTGCAGATACTTAGCATGAGCAGTCTGAAAAGGCAACCAGGGAGAGGGCATTTTGAGATACCCAGGGAATTTCTCAGTAAGACTATAAGTAAGCATCCAGTCTCCAATAAACTTATTTTATGGGTGCAGTAGCCAACAAAGACCATGGAATGTCTGGTTAAGTACCTGCATCCTGCAGATTACTTGGGAGAAATTCAAGGATAGTCACAGATACTCATTTTAATTGTCTTCTTTTGAATATAAGTAATCACTCAGTACAAGATATCTATAGTAAATGAGAGCATAAAACCCCCATGCATTAAGTATTAGTGCATGACCCAAAATATTAGTTTGGTGTGGTGTTTACTATGTGTTATTTTCAGTGTCTTAAGCCTATGAAGCACATTACAAACAAAACAGGGTATTTTCCCTGAACCCTCAGCTCTGTAGAGCTTATGATTTGAGAGACACAAGGCAAAACAACAGCAACAAGGGTACAATGCAGGCAAGGGAGGATGTGGCAAGTACAATGGAATGAAATTCTTTGATGGGGGTTTTAGAAAGGAAGCAAGAAAAAAAAAAGGCTGATAATTAATTTTTAATTACTTAAAAAGTAAATTGACAGCTTTATTGGCTCACCTTCAAGGGAAGGTTTCAGAATTTTATACATGCCTCTTTATAAAAAAGAAAGCAAACCCCAAACTCAGACATAATGCCAAAATAATGTCTCCATTAATTTCATTAGATTTGCACACAGATTGTGGCCCATAATTAGATTTTGCAGTTCTCTGTATCTGCAAAAATTAAAGTTAGGCAAGACATGTTCATCTTTCTATTTCATACAGAAACAGGATAATTTTAAAAACAGAACTTCAGGCTTGAAATTGATGCCCATGAGGAAAAAAAAAAGTTTTGCAATTCATTAGATTGCCCTGTTATCTTTTCCTCCCCCACGTTTCCCACAGAGAAAGATTGTACACATTAAAGCTACTGCACTGCTTCAGTGCTATTTAAACAGTCTTGTATATTATAATGTTAAATCTACAAAAACTTTTTTCCATTGATCCCAAACTATAATACATCTCCCCTGTGTGTGGTCAAAAGGGTATGGGAGAAAGGGAACTCACCTTGTCCACCTGCAACCCACTTAATACCAATCCACCACAAGGTGAACATGGTGAAATGGTGATAGACATGAAGGAAACTAATTTGGTTAAATTTCTTCCTCAGGATGAAGAATACTGTATCCAAGTACTCAATTCCTTTAGAGACATAATACCACCACAAAGCAGCAGCTATCTGCAATTAAAAAAAGACAGACAACACAGAAGTTTTAGAGATTCTAAGTTGAATGGAATAAAGTTCTCTCCACCTACCTACTGCAAGACAAGAGCATCTCTTACTTCCACAAAACCTGGTAAAGGTTGAGATGGAGCCATCAGACATCCGATGGTACGAGAATAACAACAAAAACAATAGTCTGTCAAACTATTCTGGACATGGAAGTATTATTCTGAGCCCACTGCTCACAAATGACTACCGTAAAAAACAGCTAACATAATTAAAAGCTTTGCCATCTCTAAACAGTTTACCAGTTAAACATAGGGAGTTTGTGTCCTCATTCTCTATCCTAAGCTTTGTGGGAGAAGACCACCATGCGGCTTCCCGTATTAACGAGGCAACACTTTGAGGTGGTCAGAACAACAAGACAGAAACATATAACACAATGAAGCTGCAAAAGTTGAAGCCTTATATAAAATTATTTCGGTATCACAGACATATGAGTGGGAAGATACCAAATCACCCTTACAAGCTAAGTGCAGTACAGATTTCACATCCCTTAGGGCAATACTCCCCCCAGCTGCTTCTGGCCTGCTCAGTAACCCCCAACCCCAAAACCAGCATTTCCCCAGTGACTCTGTACCACTCAGGGAATAGAGAAATGAGACACGGTAGCCACGGTAGCCACACAAGCTGCACAGATATAACCCAACTACCCAACAGAGCAGTGCTATACACCCAAAATTCTTATTCTAATCCACTGATGACAGCGGATCTTGCCCAAGATGCAACATGAATAGGCTTCCTGCT